CAGCGATTCCATGAAGTTCCAAAATGTCCCAGGGTTTCTTTGCTTCCGGGAGGTCCCCCATGTCACACTGGCCACTTGATTCCATGAGATTCTGCAGTCTCTCAGGTTTCCTTCAGATCCAGGAGGCCCTCCAGTGTCAGAATGGCCCTTTGATTCCATGAAGTTCCACACTCTCCCAGAATTCCTCTGGTTCCATGAGCTTCGCAGTGTCTCAATAGGCCCTTGACTCCATGAGGTTCCTCACTGTCCCAGGGTTCCTTTGGTTCCATGAGACCCTGAAGTGTCACAACAGCTGACGTCACATCCATCATATATCACATCTCTCCTGTGACATCATATCATCCCTGTGACATCATGTCCTCCCCTGTGACATCACAACCTTCCTGTGACATCACAGCTCCCCTGTGACATCACATCCAGTGACATCCAGATCCATCCCAAGGTTGGATGTGTGTGTGAGACAGGCAGAACCACAAATGCCTGCACAGCCCAGAGCAGTCAGTGTGGGGCTGTGCTTGCTGCTGCAGAGACCCCCAGGGAACAAACCCAGGCAGGAGTTTGGGGGGCTGTGTGTGTGTCCCTAAGGAGGACACTTGCCTTATTATTGCTTATTATCTGTAATATCTTATAGACCTATCATACAACACCTAAGGATGGATTCTATAGAATATGTGCCATAGATATTTGGGTTGAGTCTGGCTGAGCTGCAGTTCAGTTCCCCACAGCAGCCCTCCCAGGGCTGGGCTTGGCATTGGCAGCTGGAAGGGGGTTGAGAACACCCCAGTGTTTTGGCCCCTGCTGAGCACAGCACCAACACTGGGACATTCCTTCCTTAGCTGAGGGCAAGAGCCTGGCAGGGGACCCAAGTAGGCCAGCTGAGCCCAACTGAGCCAAGGGACATTGCAGCCCATGGGAGGTCAGCTCAGCTCTAAAAGCTGAGGCAGGGAGCAGGAGGGGGGCATTCATTGTCTGATGGCTGCCTGCTGAGGAACCGTCCCGCGGACCCAAGCCCTGCTCCTCGGGAGTGGCCGACCATGGCTGCTCATGGGAAGCAGAGAACAAACCCTGCTGTCTTTGGCTTCTGTGTGCACAAGCATCGCTTTGCTTTAAATAAACTGCCTTAACTCACTATTTTTTTTTTTCCACCTTACTCTCTCCCCTGTCCCGCTGGGAAGGGGAGTGATAGAGTGGCTGGGAGGGCACATGGTGTCCAGCCAAGGTCAGCCCAACATCTGAACACTTCCTGCACCACCTCCCTGGGCTACTCGTTCCAATGCCTGAACACTCTCTCAGGGGAAAAAGGTTTCTTTAACATCTAATATGAACCTTGCCCATAGCAATTTAAGGTCATTCCCTCACAACCTTTCACTATAGACTTGGCAGAAGAGACCAACCCCCACCCCACTAAAACCTCCTTTGAGGTCATTGCAGAGAGCAATGAGGTCCCCCCTGAGCCTCCCCTTCTCCACACTCAACCAGCCCAGTTCCCTCAGCCGTCCCTCAGCAGACATGTTTTCCAGAGCCTTCCCCAGCTCCGTTCCCTTCTCTGGACACGCTCCAGCCCCTCAAGGGCCTTTTGGCACTGAGGGGCCACAACTGGACACAGCACTCCAGGTGGGGCCTCCCCAGTGCCCAGCACACAGGGGCAATCAGTTCTCTGCTCCTGCTGGCCACACTCTTCTCCACAAAGGCCACCATGCCCTTGGCCTTCTTGCCCCCCTTCTTGCCCCCCTGGGCACACTCTGCCTCATATCCAGCTGCTGTCAAGCAGCACCCCCAAGTCCCTTTCTGCTGAGCAGCTCTCCAGCCCCTCTGCCCCCAGCCTGGAGCGTTCCATGGGGTTGTTGGGACCCAAGGGCAGGCCCTGACACTTGGCCTTATTGATCCAGCCTGTCCAGATCCCTCTGCAGAGCCTTCCTGCCCTCCAGCACATCCACACTCACACCCAACATGGTGTTGTCCACGACTTTCCTGAGGGGGCACTCGATCCCCTGGCCCAGATCATCAAGAACGATGTGAAACAGGATCAGCCCCAACCCTGAGCCCTTGGGAACCCCACTAGTGACCGGCCCCACCTGGATTTCCTTCCATTCCCCACCACTCCCTGGGCCATCAGACACTTTGTCACCCAGCAAACAGTTCCCCGGGCAAGCCATGAGCAGCCAGTTTGTGCAGGAGATGATGAGGGAGATGGTGCCAAAGGCTTTCTGGAATTCCACAGAGACACATCCCAGCCTTTCCCTCAGCTGCTGAGCGGGTCCTTTGTCAGAGAAGGAGATGAGGTTGGTCAGGCAGGACCTGCCTTTCCCAACCCCACGCTGGCTGGGCCTGATCCCCTGGTTGTCCTGCCCCTGCCATGGGATGGCACTGAGGAGGATCTGCTGCATGGACTTCCCCGGTCCTCAGGCCAATGGGACAGGCCAGGAGTTGCCCAGATCCCCCTTTTGACCCTTCCTGGGGATGGGCATCCCATGTGCTTGTTGCCAGTCAGCTGGGACTTGTGCAGTTGTGCAGCACTGCTGGGGAATGAGTGAGAGTGGCTTGGCCAGCTCTTTCTCCAGCTCCCTCAGGACTCTTGGCTGCATCCCATGTGGACCCAGGCACTTGGGGGGGTCTCACTGGCAGAGCAGGTCACTGACCATTTCCTCCTGCATTGTGGGGGCTTCACTCAGCTCCCCATCACCAGCTTCCAGCCAAAGCCTGCCTGCCAGGTGTCCAAGGGGTCAGTTCTGCTGCCCCCTCCTTCCTTCCCCCACAATGGAAAACTCCCTCATTTTGGGTCCCTGTGCCCCAGACGGCTCCAACCACCACCTCACCCACCAGTCCCACAATCATGGAATGCTTTGGCTTGGGAGGGGCCTTCAAGAGCATCTCAGCACCCTCAGAGGAAAGAATTCCTTCATCCTATCTCCTCCAACCCTTCCCTCTATCCGTGTGAAGCCACTGCCCCTTGTCCTGTCACTCCAGGCCCTTGTCCAAAGTCTCTCTCCATCTTTCCTGTTGGCTCCCTTCAGGCACCAGAAGGCCACAATTAGGTCACCCCTGAGCCTTCTCTTCTCCAGCCTCAACAATCCCAATTCTCTCAGCCTTTCCTCACAGCAGAGCTGCTCCATCCCTCTGATCCTCTTGCTGCTCCCCTCTGCACTCGCTCCAACAGGTCCATGTCCTTCCTGTGCTGGAGCCCAGAGCTGGAGGCAGCTCTGCAGGTGGGGCAGCATTACAGCCACGCATGTTCCAGCAAGGACATGGTGGAACCTCATGGAACCAAGGACCATTGTGACACTGCAGGGCCTTCTGGAGCCAAAGGAGCCCAGGGACACTATGGAATCTCATGGAATCAAGGCAGCACTGTCACCCTGGGAAAACTCCTGGAATTCAGGGCCCATTGTGACACTGCAACTCCCCATGGAACAAAAGAAACCCTGGGACGCTGCAGAAACTCATGGAACCAATGGACCACTGTGACATTGAGGGGGCTGATGGAATCAGGAGGCCATTGGGACAATCCAGGGTCTCGTGAAATCAAAGGAATTCTGGGACACTGTCAAACCTCCTGGAACCAAGGGTTCCTGCTGACATGTGTGTCCTCCTGGAACCAAGGGAGCCCTGAGATATTTCTGAACCTCCCAGAATCCAGGGGCCATTGTGACCCTGCAGAACCTCCTGCATTCAAGTGCTCCTTGTGAAACTGCAGGCTCTCCTGGAACCCAAGGATTCCTGGAACACTGCAGAGCTCACGGAACCAAGGGGCCACTGTCCCACTGCAGCTCCTTCTGAAGCACAAGGGACCCTGGGACAGTGGGAAATCTCTGAGAATCCAAAGGGCATTTGGGGACTGCAGGGCCTCATGGAACTAAAGGAACCTTTGGAGACTGGGGAAGCTCATGGAACCAAGGGGCCATTGTGACATGTGGGGCCTCCTGGAAGCAAAGGAACCCTGAGAATTTCTGTGGGAACAAGTTAAGGCAGCAGCAGCTGCATTCAGTTAATCAGGATCCAAAAGGAGTGCTTTGGCCTTGACTGGTGTTTTCCATCCAGAGAGGGCTGTTTGCCAAAGTGGAAACCACTTGGAACGCTCTGCATGGCAGCCTGTGTTTTTCTCTGGTGGCTGAACACAGCCAGCACATGAGGGGAGGGGAATGTGTGGGATCAGGGCACTGCTTTGGGGCCATGCTGGGAATTCCAGTGGACTAAAAGACAAAGCCCAGGCGCTGTTTCCAAAGGAACCCCAATGAAAGGGGGATGCTGGAAAGATGGGTGGACAAGTCCTGAAATGGAACTCTGTGTGTGCAGCCTCATTTTCTCCTTCAGTGCCCACAGAGGGGGTAAAAAGTGGCGGTTGGGACCCCTAAACTGTTGCGGGGAGGGGAAATGGGGATTGAGGGAAAAATGGGAAAGTGGGAGTTACAGGGAGAAGTGTGGAAAAGGGGGATAGTCTGGTGGGTTCAACAGTCCCATTGAGGTCTTTGGACACAGGGGTGCATGGAAAGTGTGGTGCTGGGGGTGCTGTATCCAATCTCACTTGCATTATGCCAACAGTTGCAAATTAGAGGAATTACAGAGGTGTGACTGAAACACTTTTGTCGCCCAGATTTTAATAATGGTAAAACAGATCTATTGATAGAAATGAGTTAGTTATAGTTACAAATGATCAGACAAAAGATCTTCATCAGAATTATTTACTGCACAGTACAAACACTAAGACTACCAGGAGTACAGGATAAGACAGGACAGTGCTCTACACTAAAGCAATTGTTGAAGCAATTCTACTCAAGCTGCCACAAAAGCAATAATTCTTAATTAGAGATGGATGGAACTCCCCCAGACCAACGCTCAGGAGGAGATCTCTGCCCCCTCCTCCAGGACTGACCCTGGGGGGTCCCCAGCCAAGGCAGGAATCTCCACACAGCCCCCGAAAAGGGTTCTGTTGGAAGAATGTGTCCCTGGGAAAGGGGACTGGCCCTTTGCGGTCAAAAGGGATGGACTGACAGTCACTGGACTCCAGGGGTTGCCTCACCATCAGGGGCTTCATTCAGGGTGGAAGTAGCGGCTGAAGCTCTTCCCACAGTCGGGGCACTGGTAGGGCTTCCCTTACCGGTGGGTCTGTTGGTGTCTGGTAAAGTTAGAGCTGTGGGTGAAGCTCTTCCCACACTCCCCACACTTGTAGGGCCTCTCCCCATTGTGGATGCGCCGGTGGGCGACGAGGGTGGAGTTGTACTTGAAGCCCTTCCCGCAGTCGGTGCAGCGGAAGGGCCTCTCATCCGTGTGTGTCCGCTCGTGCAGGAGGAGAGTTGAGCTGGTCTGAAACCCCTTCCCACATTCCAAGCACTTGTAAGGTCGTTCCCCAGTGTGGATGAGCTGGTGTTTGCGGAGTCTGGAGCTGTAACTGAAGCCCTTCCCACATTCCCCACATGTGTAAGGCCATTTTCCAGTGTGGATGTGCTGGTGTTGGATCAGGTCAGAACTGATCCTGAAACTCTTCCCACATTCCTGACATGGGTATGGCCGTTCCCCAGTGTGGATGTGCTGGTGTTGCATCAGGGTGGAGCTGTCCCTGAAACTCTTCCCGCATTCCTGACATGGGCATGGCTGTTCCCCAGTGTGGATGCGCTGGTGTCGGGTGAGAGTGGAGCTGTCCCTGAAACTCTTCCCACATTCCCCACATGTGTAGGGACGTTCCCCAGTGTGGATTTGCCGGTGTCGCCTAAGGTTGGAGCTGTCACTGAAACTCTTCCCACATTCCCCACAAGTGTATGGACGTTCCCCAGTGTGGATATGCTGATGGCACAGGAGGTTGGTGCTCTTCCTGAAGCTCTTCCCACATTCCAAGCACCTGAAGGGCTTCTCCCTGCTGGGAGGCTGCTCAGGGACCACCAGCTCAGAGCTCCGCCTCAAGCTCCGGCCGCCTTCCCGGCACAGGCTGGCTCTTTCCTCCTCAGAGCACCCTGGGATGGCTTTGGAGCCCCTCCTGCGGGGGGATCTCCGGCCCTTTTCCTCCCCGCTGCCTTCCTGCGCCGGGGAGCCCTTCAAAACGGCCTCTCCCACCAGGGTCTCACGGGGGGATTTGTCCTCCGGGCTCTCCGTCCTCACCTCAGGGCCTGGGGCAGGAAGCAAGAAGGACAGGCAGGGGATTTGCCTCCGGCCCACAGGGAAGGCCAAGGACATCCCCCCAACTGCGGCCCCGGCAGGACGGCGGCGCCAGCGGGGTTGTCCTGCAGCCGGGGCCATGCTCGGCTGACAGAGCCAGCACAACACCCGCCCAAAGGGACACTGACTACCTCCTCACCTGCCTGGGGGGACCAAGGCATCTTCCTCTTCCTCGCAGCCTCCTCCTCCATCCGCCCAAGCTTTGGGAAGGACAAATCCTGATGGGGGGAAAACAAGGGCTGAGCGCGTTGGCTTGGGGGTTCCTCCTGCCCAAGTCCATCTCTAGAACTCACTGGGCATCCTGTGTCCATAAAAACCTCCAAAACACCAAGATCCAGCTCAGAAAAACCCAAACCACTGACATTCAGGCAAAAAATTTTCAGAAATAGCAAGAAGACCCTTAGTCCCTCAAACTGCAAAAAGTTGAAATTCAGCTAAAAATACTCCAAAATATGAAGATTAGCCCAAAAAAATTCTCCCAGAAGTTCCCCCTCTCTGGTCTGTCCCCTCTGGGGTTCAGAGGGTCTCTCCTGTCTGAGATGCTGGGGGTCCCACTTAGGGATGCTGGGAGTGTTGGGGGTCCCAAGGGTTCCTTCTCCTCTGACTCTCGCCTTACTGGTGCCATGTTCCCAGACATTTCCCCTCTCCAGGTTCTCCACTGTGTTGTCCCAGGGAAACCAGAGGTCCCTCCTGTCCAGGTTTCCCCTTCTCCGCTCCCCCGTTTCAGGCTCCTGGGTCGCTTCTCTCGCCCCTTTCCCATCGTGGCCGCTCCACTCACCCGACAGCGGCAGGAAGGGCAGGGACAGGGGCGGAGCAGGAACACGAACAGCAGGAAAACAAGCACCTCCCCCCCATCCCGCGGGTACCTGGGAAGGGGAACTTATCCCAAATATCTTGGGGAGAGTGTGGGGGGTCGTGACATACTTGGGTTGCCAGCACAGATTTCCCTGCAAAGTCTGCAGGGAGTCAAGCTCTGGAGAGGAGATTGTGCCCCATGGATGGGATTGCAGAGGGGCCCTCAGGTCCCCAGCAGGAATCAGCAACCAGGAATAGACACAAAAGGCCCCCCCGAAGATTTCGGGGGAGTGTCCTGTAGGGAGGGGACAGTGTCACCCCACCAGGGTGGGGCTGGCAAGTGGGAGGCTGCTCCAGGGGTCTGCAAGAGGCCTCGTGTTCTGCTCAGCAACAGCACTGGCTGGTCACAACACCTCCGGCTGCCCCCGGCCCTGGGCAGCTCTGCTGCCACAGGCTGTGCCCTCACCATGGCCCTGCAATGGCCCTGCCTGTCCCTCACCCATGGCCCTGCCCGTGGCCCTGTCCCTTGGCTCTCTCTCTGCCAGCTCAGTGTGGGGCACACGGGCTGGGGGTCCCTCCCAAGCCCCCCGGGCAGCCGGCGTTGGCTGGGGGGATGTGAGGGATGGGCCTGCTCAGCACAGCCCCGGCCTCGTGCCCAGCGCCTCTTTCCTGACCCACACAAGAGCTTCCCGGCCCCCCCAGGGCTCCCCTGCTGCTGCCTCTGCTCCTGGCCCTGCCTTTGCTGCTCCCTTGGCTGGGGCAGCGGCTGCAGGGGGGGATGGCAGCAGCTTCAGCTCCACGGCACTTCCTGGGGGGAGCTCAGCCCAGGGGGACGGGCAGGGACCTGATGGGGATGGACAGGGGCCCAGCAGGGACAGCCAGGGCCTGCAGGGGAAGGCACAGGGACAACCTGGCCCCACACACTGCCAGGGCTGTCTCTGCTCCTCCTTGCAGGCTCCGTGGCCAGGCACAGTTTGTGTTCCTGGGTGCCCACCATCTCAGCACTTGGAGACGCTCAAATCAGCGCCCGCAGCTCTGCAGCAAAGCCCCAGCTCACCTGGCACACAGGGGATGGACACAGCACCTGCTCGGGGATGGGCATTCACAGCTTTGTCTTCTTCCCCACCACAGGGCTCTCCTTCCTCAGCAGCACCTCTGCCTTGCACTTATTCTCAGCCTCCCCTCAGGGACAGCTCTGGGCTCACCTCCGCGCCACTTCTCAGCCTCACCTCAGGGCCTGGGCTCAAGGACAGGAACCTGCAGGGAGGGGACATCAGGTGCAAGCTGAGGGCTGCCTGCTTGCACTGCCCTCTGGGCTTCCTTCTCCTTCTACAACCATCCAGAACTCAGCCTGCTTTTCTAACACCACACATTTACAGACTAACCTTGGAGATAGATATGGACAGACATCTCTATCACCCTGGGGATAGAGCCTCAAGCATGTGCTGCCATAGGAATGGCAATCAGAGAATCACAGAATCAGCCACGTTGGAAAAGACCTCCAGGATCATCAAGTCCAACCCTGGATCCAACCCCGCTGTGCTTCCCAGACCATGGCACTGAGGCCACATCCACTCTCACCTTCAACACCTCCAGGGACGCTGACTCCACCCCCTCCCTGACCAGCCCATTCCAAGGCCTGACTACTCTCACCCCAAAAAACTGCTTCCTAATATCCAACCTAAACCTCCCCTGGCACAGCTCAAGACCCAGCCCTCTTGTCCTACTGCTGCTTCCTGGCACAACAGCCCCACCCCCACCTGGCTCCAACCTCCTGGCAGGGACTTGCAGAGAGTGATGATTCCTGCTGGGGACCTGAGGGAGCCTCTGCAATCCCATCCATGGGGCACAATCTCCTCTCCAGAGCTTGACTCACTGCAGACTTTGCAGGGAAATCTCTGCTCCCAGCTGCATCCTGAGCCCAAGGTCAGTTTGTATCCACAAGTGCTGATCCAATGGGTGCCCTGGGATTGGAGCCTGGGCTCTAATTAACCTCTCCTGTGCTACCAAACAGCAGGAGCTGTATGGCCAAGGGACAAACTCTGTGATCCCTGTCAGTGTCCATGGCCCCTGTCAGTGTCCTTCAGGGAAATTGGGAGGAGGAAATGAAGAAACCAGTTTGGAACTAAACTGGTGTAAAAGTGGGAAAAACCTCCTTCCATGGAAATAAAACTTAGTTTTTCCTAGGCTGAACAAGCTCATTCAGGGACGAAGGACTGGGACTTCTGTGGACACTTGTGCTGGTTTCTTTGGACACTCGTGTTCCTTCAGAGAGCCCCTGGAAACACTCTGCTGTTCACTCCCAGTGCCACCAGTGCCTGGGTCCTGTCTGCAGCAGCAGATTGCAGTGGGATGGGAGAAATGCTTTTCTGAGCCTCTGGGCTGGACACAGGCACAGCCTGACCCTGAACCCAAGGGAAACAAAGACAAATTCCATGGTTTTAGCTGGACCAAGGGGAAGGGGGGGTTTCCTGAGGGCAGCACTAACAAGACTGTTTTGTGTGTGTGAGACAGGCAGAACCACAAATGCCTGCACAGCCCAGAGCAGTCAGTGTGGGGCTGTGCTTGCTGCTGCAGAGACCCCCAGGGAACAAACCCAGGCAGGAGTTTGGGGGGCGGTGGGTGTGTGTCCCTAAGGAGGACACTTGCCTTACTATTGCTTATTATTTGTAATATCTTACAGATCTATCATATAACACCTAAGGATGGATTCTATAGCATATGTGCCATATATAGGATACAGAATATATCTGATTATTGCTTTATCTGTCTGTCCAGACAGATACTGTGTATGCAGAGAGATTGTATTTGAGGGATATGTTCCTCTCAATACCCTGTGAGCTCCACTCCCAAGGCCAGCAAATTCCTGAAGCTCCCCCTTCTGTGCCCTGCAGGTTTTGGCAGATTTGCAAGAGCAGGGGAATCATTCCCTGCAGCCCCTTTGCACTGTAGGAAATGGGAGCCCTGTGCACATCCTGCTGCCTCCAGATTCCATTCTGGGTGTGGGAACGACCCTGTGGGGAGCAAAGAAATGCCTGGTTCTGCAGGAGCTGGAGATGCTCAAGGGGCAGCAGGACCAAGTCAGGGGTCTGGGGGACTTTGGGGAGCGGGAGGGTCCTGGGGGAGCTGGGGAGGGGCTTTGGGGATTGGGGGTACAAACCAGGACAGACCAGGACAGACCAGGAAAGACCAGTACCTCCTCACTGCTGCCCAGATCTCTCCTGGAGCTTGGCCACGTTGTCCTGGGACACCTGAGCCCCCCCCAGTGCCCTCCCAGTACAGCCCAGTGCCCCCAGTACAGCCCACTGTGTTCCTGTCCCAGGGTGCAGGGTGATCCCTCTTTGGGGGGGTTGGAATGGATTTGAGGGGGGGCTGGGGGAGATTTGAAGGGATCTGGAGGGGTTGGATGAGGATTTGAGGGGGGTTGGGGGTGTATATGGGGGAGTTAAAAAGGGTTTTTGTGGCATTGGGACATCAAAGGGATCTGTGGGGGGAGGAGATTAAAGGGAAAATTGAGGTTAAGGGACATTTGGGGGGGGTTAAAGAAGCCTGGGGGGGGAGGGGCTTCACCAAGAGCAGGTGATTCCTGAGACCCTCCCTGGTGTCCCCGAGACCCTCTTGGTGTCCCCAGATCCCCCCTGGACACCCCGGGACCCCCCGGTGTCTCCAATGTCCCCAGGACCTCCCCATGGCCCCAACTCCCCCCTTGACACCCCCAATTCAACTGTCCCCAAACGCCTCCCCACTGTCCCCAAACCCCATCCCTGATGTCCCCAACCCTCCATCTCGCCCCAGGAGCCCCCCTGGACCCTCTGACCACAAAAACGCCCCCACCACACTCACAGAAAGGCCAAGGGCATCTGGGGACGCACTGGGGACAGCTGGGGGGCTTCAGGGGGCACTGGGTGATTACTGCAGGGTACTGGGACACACTGGGGGGAAACAGGGGGCACTGGGAGGGACTGGGGAGT